GTGTGTGTGTGTGTGTGTGTGTTTGTTGAGTGTATTATGTATGTGTCTTTGTATATATATATATATATGTATATGTATATGTATATGTATATGTATATATATATAGATATATATATACCGTGTGGATATATGTACGTGTGAGATGGGAGATAAAAAATAGGGTACAATAACCAGTATAAATACACATGTATATTATATCGGTGTATAAAGACATAATATTCACTATAGATATATACATTTATACAAATGAATACGGTACAACTATATGTACGTGTATGTCAATAAGTATCTATATCACGTTATGTACTCGTTTGTGGACATTCAGATAGTCGTGACATGCACCCCAATTGCACGCGTCAAAACAGTGTCACTGTACAAATAGTGTCATAATAGTGTCACATGTACCTACCCTGGATATCCCCACTTCACCCTGAAGTGTGGGACGACAAACGACACCTCATCCTGTCACATGTCAATATAGTGTCACCGTTAAAACCCTAAAACCCCGTTACCTACCTCGGGTGTTCCCTCACGCGTCAGCCGCCTGCGAACGTTGAGACTCAGCGTGGCCTGTCGCATGATGGATCCCAGGTGATGCATCTTATACCCCACACTCGGCTCAATCTCCACTGTGTTGGTCGCCTCAACCGCAAGAGTTTGTGGTATATTCGTTTGCGGTTTTGCGGTTTCGTGGTGGTCTATAAATAGAATGCATATATTGAGTGGGGCTCCGCTTAGTTTGTGTATTGTGAAAAGTTTGTGTATAGTGGTTTGCACCGCACACTCGGCTCAATCTCCACTGTATTGGTCGCTTCGACCGCAAAAGGTTGCGGTTCTGCGGTTTCGTAGTGGGTCTATAAATAGAATGCGTACATTTTTATTGGCTCTGCTTGGTTGGCGTGAGTAGTGTACACTCCACAGTAGATGAAGTCTCACTAATACTTCTGCTTTAAACGCAACAAGTTGCGTACTGTCACTTGCGGTTTTGCGGTCTCTCGGTGATCTATAAATAGAATTCCTATATTTGAATTGGCTCCAACGAATTGCAATCAGAAGCACATTCAGACAATAAAAATATACCAACATATACTCTGAGAAGTGCATGTTAGTATAAGTCCATACAAATACGTACCCTCATATCCTCGGATAAGTATATTCAGTACATGTACATAGAAGACGTACGCACATACTCTGATAAGTAAATCCAGTATACGTACATAAGAAACGCACTCAGATATACTCTGATATATATATCCAGTATACGGACATAAGGAGACGTACTCATAAAAACTTTTCATAAGTACATTTCGTACATACAATCATACAAACTCTAAAACAACCTCATAAACGTATACCTACATCACCTTACCCACCTTCATCAGGAGATCCAGAAGTCCCGCTCTGTGTGGTCCTCGATAATTGTCCACTGCCGTCTTTTTGGTGCCTCATTTGAACACCTGCCAACTCACTATCACGAGAGGAATTCTCTGTGTTTTCATTAGTCGATTCAGCGGAAGTTTCCGTTGCCGCATTCTCATTAGCTGTCGACTTATTCTGCGCATTGCCGTTCGCAGGAACTACACACGAGGTAAACAGCTTCATCGCTTGCAGGCCTATTTCGATGGTGTCCACTCCAACGGTTTTACCACCTACACGTGTGAGTATAAATGTGTGTATGAACAAATATACATATATATACATATATATATATTTATATATATATATATATGCGAACATACATACATGCATACATACATACATACATACATACATACATACACACACATACATAC